TCAGTGGTTAAGAGCATTGCCTGCTCTTCCAAAGGTCCTGAGTTCAATTCCCAGCAACCACATGGTGGCTCACAACCATCTGTAAAGAGGTCTGGCGCCCTCTTCTGGGCTTCAGGCATACAGACAGAATACTGTATACATAATAAATAAACAAACAAACAAACAAACAAACAATGTCTCTCCCTACCAAAGGGTATTTCTTTCCCCAGTTCCTACAATTCTTTGCTCCAGTGACCCTCCCAGTGAGGTCCACCCAGATCAGGCCTACTCTAGATTCACTCTCCCACAGCATGTCCAGTTCCCCAGATCCAGCCTGGTTTTCCCAAAGGAACCTGTCGTCTTCTAACCCACTGCAGCAGCGGCATCCCAAGTTCCCCAGATAGCAGCACCCTGAAGGACCTTGTGTCGCTCAGGCACACACCCTGGGGTACCGAGCTGGTGCTCAGTGTTTGCAACTGTTTGTGAATGAATCAGTGCATAAGCTGTCAGCCTCACACCACCTCTCACAGTGAGAGTCCAAGATAAAACAGCCCATCCTCCCAGCAAGCTGCAGGAAGCAAGGAGCCATGGCAAAGCACAGGAGACCAGGCTCTGCTGAAGGTACAGTGCTCTTTCCACAGAAGGTAAGATGACAGAGTAGTAAGCCTAAGGCTGCTAATGGCCACTGGGTCACACCCAGGGAGGACAATGAAGCCCACACAGGGCCAAAGACAGAGGGAAAGAAACCCCTGAGTTCATTATGTGTCAGGAAGAACCATCAGGATGGGCAGGTACCATCAACAGGAATGGTAGGTGTCACCACCAGGAATGGAAGACATTACCATCAGGTTCGGTAGGTACCACCATAATTACCAGCAGGTATCACCAAGAGGATCGGTAGGTACCACCATCAGCAGGCACTACCATCAGTTCCTACTTTCACTTAGCCTCTACCTACATCTGCCCAAAAGAGGTGGCAGCTCCGCCCAGGGGACAAAGAGAGGGCAACTAAAAACAATCCATGCTAGCCTGAGTTTGGGTTTGTAACCTCTCCTCTGGAGCATTCACATCCCTGCAGTAGGCTGTTAACAGTGTTGCCTCTTCCTACCCAGCACAGTTGTGCAAGATCCAGCTAGGCTTGGGGACCGCAGCAGCCAACACTTCTAAAACACTGTTAACTGCCAAACATCCTGGACCCCAAGTGCCTAAGTCACAACTCAACTCACAAACAGCCACCTGAGACAGGCCCTATTAGCACCCATTCACAGATTTGGAAGTGGAAGCAAAAAGGAGCAAAGAGACTAGCCCAAGGTCACATGGCCTGGTAGAGCCTCCTAGAACCAGACAGCAGACTTCTCCAAGGATAGAAACCATTGTAGCTAGGAGTTATTAGACCACTGCTGTACCCCTGGGCAAGTCAGAGCCTCTGCAAACACAGGCCCTACCTGGACTAGGACATCTCTGCCTGGAGAACTGTTTAAGAGTGGGCAGGAAGCAACAAGCCATTGGTGAGGCCAAGGCCACGGCACAGTGGGTACTCCTGAGACCGCAGCAGCCAACTGTGAAATGCCAAGTGACTGACACACACTCTAACCCTGGGGTCAAGGGCCACCTTCAACCCAACGGGAAATCAAAGCCCTGGGAAGATGAGTCGTAACACTTGTGGGCTCCTATCACCTTTCAAAGCAGTTCAGAGAGAGTGGAAAGCAGAAGGCAGGTCCCCAGAACCCCAGATAACTTCTTACCACACTCGTTTCCTCCCCCACCCCAAACCCTTCCTCTTTCTGCCTTGAGGGGAACCCCATCCTCTCCACTGGAGGCCCAGAGAAGTTGGCCCAGCCTAAGCTTCCAGGACTGCTCTTGGACAGGCCCCCATCCCTGACTCCCATTAAAAGCCTCTGACCACTCCTTCCCAACTGAGAGTGGGGACCAGGGAGTGGAGAAACAGAACTTGCCCAAGGCCATGTGGGGCTGGGCAGAGCAGAGGCAGAGGCAGAGGCAGCTGGTAGAGTCCCACAGACCTGAAAATGAGTCCCAGCTCTGCCATACTCTAGCTGGGAGGCCTTGGGCATGTGACCTCACCTCTCTGAGCCTGTTTCCCCATCTGAAAAACACAAACAAGAGGTCCCTGCTGCGTGGTGGTCACACAGATTAGTGAAGCAACTGGAAGAGTGCCTGACTCCGGGGCTTGCAGCACACGAAGGTCACAGATTCAGGAACTCTACCTACTTGGCTCCTGCCCAGGCCCTCACCTCTCCACGTCAGTCTCCTCCAGCTCTCCCAGCCACTGCTCCATCCTCCCACTCCCTGCCTTCTGGCCACCATGAAATAATCCTCACGCTCTCATAGAACAATCTGCCCTGAACACATGCATTTACTCAACAATGCACAGCATAGGGGGCCCCCTTCCAGCCCAGCCAGGCCCTTCCCCGACCCTTCTCCTCCACAGCACAATTACTGAAGTAAGTCATCCAGCTACTCAGAGATGCCGCACACTCCCTCACGCAACATTACCAGAGGATACTTGTGGAGTCCTAGGCATCCAAGGATGAAAAAGGGTATGGCACAGGTGGGGCAGGCGAACAAGCTGTCCACTGCTGCCCTCCTCTCAGGCCAGGCCAGTCTAATCCTCAGGTACTTTCATTATTGCCTTTACAGAGGAGGAAATGCTCTACCAGCCCACAGTCCACCTCTGACCTGGAAACAGATCACAGCCCAGGAAGGGAAGGACAGGAGGCTCCCAGTGAGCTCTGCCTGCCATGGTTCCACCCTGGCTCACAGCACAGGCTTCCCCATTGGCCCTGAGCCAGTATACATGGATTATACTCAAGTGACTCTACTGTGCTCTGCCCAACACTGAGTGCATCGTGTCCTGGAGCCTTCTGATCATCTCCATGGCTTTACAAGGCGATGCTGTGCCTCCTGTCTGTGGATGAGGAAATTGAGGCACAGAGGCTGAGTCACCTAGCTAGATCACTCCAAAATTCTACCTGAGGTGCCCGGCTCCATTCAGAGCCCAAGCTCTTAACTACCCAACCCTGTCTGCTGCCTCTCATACAAGCATATATAAACAAGTAATTAGTAGGCATTCTACGGCCAGGAGGGAAAATGATAGGCAGGGACTTATAATTTAGAAAGACTAGCTGGGCAGTGGTGGCACCTGCCCTTAATCCCAGTACTCGGGAGGCAGAGGCAGGCAGATCTCTGTGAGTTTGAGGCCAACCTGGCCTACAAGAGCTAGTTCTGCAACAGGCCCCAAATCTACAGCTTAAAGCCTGTCTTGGAAGAAAAAGAAGAAAGGGAAAGGGAAAGGAAAGAAGGGGAGGGGAAGGGAGAGGAGGGAAGGGATCTAGAAAACATAATATTGAGTGAGGTAACTCAGACCCAGAAAGACAAATATCATATGTGCTCACTCATAAGTGGCTTATAGACATAAAGCAAAGGAAAACAACCTATAATTCACAATCCCAGAGAATCTAGACAACAATGAGGACTCTAAGAGAGACATACATGGATCTAATCTACATGGGAAGTAGAAAGACAAGATCTAAAGTAAACTGGGAGCATGGGGACCATGGGAGAAGGCAGAAGGGAAGGGGAGAGGCAGGGAGGGGAGTGGAGAAAAATATATAGCTCAATAAAAACAGTAAAAAAAATTGGGCTGGGCAATGGTAGCACACACCTTTGATCCCAGCACTCAGGAGGCAGAGATGTGGATCTTTGAGTTCAAGGCCAGCCTGGTCTACAGAGTGAGTTCCAGGACAGGCTCCAAAGCTACACAGAGAAACTCTGTTTCGAGAAAATAAACAACAAACAAACAAACAAACACAAAAAACGTTGGAAGCTGGGCATGGCCTACAATACACTTGGAGCCAGAGGCAGGAGGGTCAGTTCAAGTCAAATCTTGGCTATATAGCAAGTTCCAAACCAACTTGGGACACATGAGACACTGTGTCAAAAAAAGCTCCCCTCCTGGCAACAAAAGGGGAAAAAAAAAGGAAAGGAAAAGCTAAGCAAAGCAGAGCCAGCTCTGACAGCTCATGTCTGTAACCCCAGCACTCAGGAGGCAGAGGCAGGAGGGTCACCAGAAGTTCAAGATCAGTCTGAGTTACACAGCAAGCTCCAGGCTAGTCATAGCTACACAGCAAAACCTGCCTGACCCACTCTCCTCTCTCAGCATCTCCCACCTCTTCATCAAACCCTCATGGCTTCTGCACCACCCAGTGACCACCACAGGCATGTGCGCATGCAGGCTCCTGATCCAGCTCACCCTCCATGTAGGATGCTTCCTGTCTGAAACCTCTGATTTGGCTTTTCTTCCCACCAGATAAACAGCTCAAGAGAACAAGGCCCCCTGCAGGCACTCTGTAGATAAAGAGGGAACAAGCCAGAGCAGTTCCTGCCCAGCTCTGTTGCTGCCACCTCCTTCCTTCTGATGTACATTCACACGGGCACAGTGGTGGACACGGGCCCGACTTCAACAGTTGTCTTGACAACCAGAGGTCAGGTGAGTATCATGTCCACTGTCCACTGGACAGCCCTGGAGAGGTGTGTAGACTCGGGCCTGTGTCGAAACCCTGGGTCCCAACTACCCTTCTGACACCCACAAGTGCTCAGTAGTTTAGTCTAGTTCTGTCTCAATGGGGGCAGCTAGGCATCAAATTTTTGGGGTATGTTGGGGCAAGAATGGCCAAGCCCAGCCGGGCGGTGGTGGCGCACGCCTTTAATCCCAGCACTCGGGAGGCAGAGACAGGCGGATCTCTGTGAGTTCGAGACCAGCCTGGTCTACAAGAGCTAGTTCCAGGACAGGCTCCAAAACCACAGAGAAACCCTTTCTCGAAAAACCAAAAAAAAAAAAAAAAAAAAAAATGGCCAAGCCCTTCTTCCTTAGTCAGACCCGGAAGGGTTCACTGCCATGTTAAAGGTAAGTCATCCCCATTTTTCAAGAAAAAATTGGGGCCCAAGTAGGGAGAACCCAAGCCAGCCCCACCCGCCTTGGTGAGTCAGCATCAGTAAGCATTTCATGGTCCTTCAGATGCCAGCCACACCCTGACTAACAACCTCCTGGCCTCGGGGAAGACTTGAAGCCTGGATGGTCCTGCTCCCCAGCCCTCAGGGCAATGGCTCCTTCACCTACCCAGCCATCAGGGTGGCTGTTGTAATTGCCTGACTCCCTGCACTGGGCAGCCACCCCCTCAAGTCAGCACCCCTGTGAGGACACAGGCTGGCTATGCTCTGTGCTCCTGGCACAGGTATCTGCCACCTCATCTCTGAAGTGGGGACAACACCCACTGCCTAAGAGGTCATAGATGGGGAGAGGCACCCTGGGCCAAGGCCTCCTGCGTATCCTACAGACTCAGAAGAGCACCTCCTCCAGCTTCTATGTCTACCCCAGCCCTGGCCAAAGCATGTCAGCTGCTGTCCACAACCTCCAGCTTCTAGGAATGCCTTCTGAGTGGACTGGATGCTCACTTGACGGCGTCTATTGAGGACTCCTGTCCCTCCACAAGGGTGTCCCTGCAGACCCCCCAGGGCACTTGGCTCATCCCTGGCTTTGTGCCAGCTGAGATCACAGACTACCTTGGTGTAGCTGTGGTTATCCACTTAACACACTACCATATAAGCTCCTAGAGGCCAGGGACTTCCCACCCTGGTCTAACTCTATGTCCTCAATGCCTTGAACAGCACCTGATAAAGAAGAGATACTCAATAAGAAAAATGATAGGGAAGAAATGGTAAGTAAACCGTTCTGGGGCTCCTGCAACCCCAGAATAAAGTCTAGACCCCCAAGGCCCCACCTGTCTCGACCCACAATGTCTTTACTTCCAACAGCAACCTCACTGGACACTGCACAGAGGTCATACAGGGCCACCTTCCTAGCTCCCCCTCCAGCTCCCTCCAGCTCGTCCTGAAAGCAGCAGCTCTACAGAGACTAGAGGGCTCCCTCATCCCACTGCCGCTGTGTCACACCAGCCTGGCTGCTGTTTTCCTCACCATGCTCGCGTAGCCTAGGCACAGAAGTCTGAGAGATTGTATCTGAGTCCTTTTGTGTTCCCCGGGAAAGAGGGACCAGAGAGGGCTGTCCTCCCCAAGCCTCACCCCCAGAACACAGTGAAATATCTCAAGGGCAAAGACTGATCCCAAGAGCCTAGGATGGAGGTTACATGCCTACAGTACTATTACTGGGAAGGTTGAGGGAGGAAGATGCCAAGGTAAAGTCCAGATTTGGTACTATATATATATGACTACCAGGCAATGGTAAGTTATAACAAAAGCCTATCTCAACCCAGAGGGGAAAAAAAGAAAGAAAAGAAAAGAAACTAGAAGCATGGACAAAAATCCAAACTCCCACCCATTCTGTAGTTGCCCAGCCTTCTGCTAGGGCCTGACTGGCTTCCCCACCAGCCCTTGACAGTATCTCCCATTGCCTCAGCAATCCCAGCTCCAATGGACTGCCACTCAGCTGCAAGGTCAGCTCTACAGGGACAGGGCCTTCCTGCTACAAGTCCCAGACACCAAGCCTCACACGCACATGGCCTGTGCTAGGTACTGTTCCAAGTGGATTATGTGGGGAATTGCTATCCCGACAGCAGCTCTAGGCAGACCTTCATTATCTTACTGTTCCATGTGGGATCCTGACTCCCACTCCACTCAGTCACCTGCCCAAGGTCAGGCAGCTTCTTTAAATGCCTGGGCTAAAGCCAAGCACAGTGGCTCACACTTTTAAGCCCTGCACTTGGGAGGCAAAGGCGAGAAGATCTCTGTAAGTTTGAGGCCTGTTTGATCTACAGAGTGAATTCAGGACAGCCAGGGATACATAGTGAGACCCTTTCTCAAAAACCAAAAGCCAAAGCTAAGATGTAACTTGTCAGACTGACCTAGAGTCCTGGCTTTTCTATCCCCACCATATCTTTCACTGCTTCAGAAAAGGCTGCATACCTATATCGCACATGTGTGCGTGAGTGTCTATGTGTGTGTGTGTGTGAGTGTGTGTGTGATTTGATCCTACATCACACAGCACCAGAGAAGTCAAGAATATCACTGCTCAACAGATGGCCCACCAGTATCACATCCCAGGTCGATGCAGTGTGGCTCACCCTCCAACTCTGTAGTCCACCATGGGCACAAGGACTCTCAAGGCCCATTGATACTTACCACAGGTCACTTTGCCTTCTGATGAGGGCCTGCCCAGCTCCTGGTGCTGCTGCTGCACAGATGCTGGGCCTGTTCGCCGCCGCCGCCTGGCACCACTGCTAGGGCGTCCCCGACTCCGCCGCTGCCTTTTGGTAGGAGGGGAACCTGGAAGACATAGGAGAGCCAGCTCAGGACCAGGAAGAAAGAATGCCAAAATATAGACAGGGCCTGTGAGAGAATAAATGTGTACAGTTTACAACCCCACAAGAGAGGAATCAGAACACGCCTTACATCTGTTACTTTCCTGGGAGCCCTGAAAGGACACATTAGAAATAACTGAAACTGGCTTCAGATAGACTCCTTGAAATGCTTTTAGCTTTGCCTTTTGAGTCATGTAACTGTTAAGTCATATACACTTAAAATGAAAAGCAAATAATAAAGTCAAACAAACGGATGAACCTAAGTGCACATAATTGGTGACACCAAATTCTGATGAAGGAATTAGGACAAGTACCTTAGAACACTGACTGCACACTCAGCTGGATCTGACCAAAGCACAACAAGTACAAAGAAAGAGTGACCAGCATTTGAGGCAGAGGCAGACGGATCACTGTGAGCTCAAGGGCGGCCCGGTCTACAGAGTGAGATCCTCTCAAAATGCATGCATGCTTACACACACAAACACAAGCACACACCCATATTCTCTCTCTCTCTCTCTCTCTCTCTCTCTCTCGCTCGCTCGTTCAGAATCAATACAAACCCATCTTATGCTCCATCCAATGGATGCTGACAGTGGGGAGTGAGGCTGAGTTAGAAGATCAGGGATTCCAGGCCAGTCTGGACTACATAATAAAACCCCGCCTTAGAACCAAAATAACACCAGAAAGAGAGAGCTGGAGAGATGGCTTAGTGGGTAAAGGAGCTTGCTGCTCACACCTGCCGACCAGAGTCCAATTCCTGGAACCACATAAAGGCAGAAAGAGAAGCCATTCCACAGAGTTATCCTCTGACTTCCGTATCTGTGTGCCATGAACCCCCTCAGCACTCGCTCTCTTTGCCTTTCTCTCTCTGTCCCTCTATCTCTCTTTTTCTCTCTCACACACTGAAACACACACTCTAGCAGCAAGATTTTAAAGGAAAGCTGAGTTGGAAAAATTTACAAAAAAAAGAAGGAAGAAAACATGTAACAAAATAAATGTGTTCAGTTTGCAACTCCCTGTAGACAAGAGGGATTCTGAACACTACTGACAGGTTACTCCTGTTCCAAGTCTGAAAGAATACATTATTAGCAAATCAAACAGGACAGATAAAATTTGTTGTCACCTCATTACTGCAAGAAAACAAAGTAAACCCACCTCAGTGCCAACAGCCAAGACTTTCACTATTTAAAAAAAAAGTCAGGGGCCCAAGAGAAGGCTCAACAGTTAGCGTGCACATTGCTCTTCTTGATTCCTCCAGGACCAGCACTCAACTGTGCAAACCCAAATACATACACATAATTCAAGTAAACTTAAAAGCCTCAAGGATTATTGGCACAAGTCACCAAACCCAGCTCGGAGAACTTTTTCTGAAAAGCAGGCATCCGCTTTCCCAGGCAGCTGAGAAGCAGACTACACACCCAGCTATTGGTCTCTAAACATCCAGGCCTCTAACAGAAACCAGGCTTCTTGACAAGCAGATAACTTTGGGGGTAAGAAGTGCAAGGTAAGCCCAGGACATCAGGAATGTCACTCAGAGAGTGACTGCAGACAAGTCAAAAGGACAGAGCGAAGCAATCTGAATGCCGGTAAGAATGACTAATTGGCTAACAAAGTAAACAAAGCCAGGCAGTGGTGGTGCCACCTCTGATTCCAGCACTCAGGGGGTAGAGGCAGGTGCATCTCAGGTGAGTTTCCAGTCAGGACTACTTGGTGATACCCTGCTGTTAAATTGGAAAGAGAAAAGAAGGGCTGGGGAGCAGCTCAACTATAGAGCTCCTTCCTAAAATCCAATGCGGTTCTAGGGTCACAGCCTGGTGAGAGAAGCCTTTGCCTCACATGAACAAAGCCCTCAGTTTAATCTCTAGTACCATAAAAACAAAAAAATAATTAAAAATGAAAACAACATTTTTAAAGCTACTCTTTGTTCCAGCCTCATTGCACAAGACAGAAATCCCAGCTACTAGGTTGGCTGAAGCAAGGGAATATGGGCAACTGAGAACCTGCTTCAAGTTTATTTTCACAAAAAAAGCTGTAAAACAAATAAGCAAATAAACAAATGAGTCACCATTTACAAATATAACCATGGTAAATGGTTCAAACAGGGTTCACAGAATGATGCTACATTCCCCTGGAGGAACAAGTTGAGTACAGAGAACGCTAAAAAGCATCTTCTTACACACTAGTAACCATAGCAAGAAAGCTTCATCTCTTCACTGAGCCTTACGGATGGCTCAGCGGATAATGCACCTGCTGCCTAAGCTGCATATGCCTGTGAGGCGAACATGAAGGCTCAGCGGCCGTCCCAGTACCCAGGAGGCAGAGACAGGATTCCCAGGGCAAGCTGGCTCGAGGAGCAGCCAAAGACCTTGTCCCACCCAATAAACAGTGTGAATCAGGACAGCTAGTACCAACTTATAGCTTCTCCACAGACATGCACACGTGTGAACACGGACCTTCACAGACACACCTACATGCATATAAGCACATCACACATCAACACACACAAATAAAGCTTCACACATACAAATCTGGCCAGAACCAGCTGACCACATGTCCCTACTTACAGTGCAAATTTCATGACAAGCACCAACACAAGGAGAACGCATTGATCAAGGAACATTCCTGCCAAAAATGTGTAATCCGAACCAAACCAACCCTTTGCACCTAATGACCACTCTGCAGGAAGTCAGACAGACCATCATGTAGCAACCAGAAGCAGTCAGAATGCTGTACACACCAATCAGCCCTGTAGGTGGACAAGTCAAAAGCAGAACACTCTGGGCCACAGAGGAGGTGTGTGGGAGTCGTGGTTCAGGGGTTATACAGGGCAGTAAGGATGTAGGAGGCCCAGGTTCCAGGTCCAGCCCCAGAAAGAAGAAAGGAAGGAAGGTAGGTAGTCAGTCAGCCTGTCTGCCTGGTAAGGAAGGAGTTTCTATTCTATAGAGGTTAAAAGATATAAAAAACTGCATGCCACTTGGGCACGGTGGCTCACACCTCTAATCCCAATACTGGGGAGGACAAGGTCAGAGAACTGCCTCTAGTTCCATGGGTCTCAACTTTCCTAATGTCATGACCCTCTAATACAGTTCCTTACGTTGTGGTGACCCCAACCATACAATCATTTCCATTGCTACTTCATAACTATAATTTTGCTACTGTTATGACTCTGAATGGAAACAGCTGTGTTTTCCATTGGTCTTAAGCAACCCCTGTGAAGGGCTGTGTGTCACGACCCACAGGTTGAGAATCACTGCTCTAATTTGTAGCTGAGTCTTGGCTACAAACGAGTGAGTTCTAAGCCAGCCTGGGCTGCAGAATGAGACTCTATCTCTAAACAGTAACTAGCAGATCTTTTCTTTTTTAAGTTGCATACACAAAAATATAAACAAGCTCTGAAACCGCGCACATCTTAGGAAGTTCAAAAGTAGACCATGAAGGTGTCAGAGAACTAATACTCATTTTCTTAGGTGTGTTAACAGTCTTCAAAGGGCAGAGGAAAACTTATTCTCAAATTATGCCAGCTAATTCCGAGGCAAGGCTATTGATGTCTGTAATTTACTACCAAAAAGTTCAACAAAAACCTCAACATTTTCTACACACACAACACTCAGAACACGGTGGCAGACGTCTGTGCTCCCTGAGCCCAGGTGGAGATTTCTCTGTATTATCTTAACTTCTCTGGACATTTGAAATTTTACATAATTAAAAATTAGGGGGAGGGGGATTGTGTACACTGACTGGAATACAGTAATTGAACTAATTAAAGGCATCCACCATGAAATAAATCTCAGAAATGTGCCCAGGAAAGGCTGCCAGGTCACATGCCTCAACATGATGCCATCTGAGTGAAGCCTGAGTCCATGTGACACAACCCCATTGCTTCAGGACACATTCTTCTACCTATAGCAATAACAAAAACAGACAGCGACCCTTCAGGCCATTTCCTTGATGGTCCAGGACGCTGGAGGTCATCACAGTTTAAGAAAGAGACAGGGACCCTGTCACTCTACCTGCCCAGTGGACTCACCTGTGTCCCACTGACTCTGTTGGGAATCAGAAGAACTACCTGACTGTTGCCGACGCCGGCAACTGCCCTCTGTTCTTTTGGAAGAAGAGCCAGGACTGCCATAACTGTATCGCTCGGGGGATACTGGGGAAAGAGAATGGAATCAGTATTCACAGCTTCCTTATCTCCCAGGTCTAGCCTCCTAGGAAGAATGCCTGGACCATAGGATGCCTAACCCCAGATCTCAGAGGTCACGCCCAAACACCCACTCCTTCTCAAGCACTTCCCGCCTACAGGTTGCTCACGGGCCCCTAGGACACAGTGCTCATGAGCTGCCCAACCCATATCAAAGCTCCAGCTGTCAGTCTTATACGTCCAATAGACCAGGTCCTTGCAACAGCCCTTGCCCCCATGTGCTCCTGGCTTATGGGGGGGGGGGGGAGACCACCTTTCATCTCTTCTAGAGCCTGACACTCAGACATATTTTTCCAAAATCAGACAGCTATCCCTAGAGGTGCCCTTCTATTTGTGCAAATCCCACAGGCTTATTATGGAACATGAAAGCTCATAATCCCTCCTCCCCAGCCACCACACTCTATCTCTCAAGAAAGATTCTACCTATGTACCTGACCCCTCCCAGGTCTTCCCTTTCTGCCCAAGGATCAAGGGCCTCAACCCTGGATACAGGACAGGCAGGTTTGAATCTTGTTCCCTTTGCTTGCTACATGTTAGGTGTGTGACATATTTTCAAGCCCCCCCCCCTTTTTAAATGCCATCTTCTTAGACTTTTCCTTCATCATTATCCAGGTTGGGGCCACCTCCCCTCATTTTGAGGCATCCTATCCATCTCACCCAATATATGGCTGCTATCTGAAGCTAAGTTCCTCGTTTATTATTAAGCGGCTCCCTCTACTAATGCAAGCTTCATGGAATAAACATCTTGGCCTTATTCTTTGTGGCCACCATGATGGATGTAGTTCTCACATGCAGCTAGATAACTTCTCTAAGCCTGTTGTTTTCCCTGTGTGCTGGGGTGGAGTTCATATGAAATGTTTACCTCTGCCTGGCATACAAAGTTCCACACACGGTGGCCACAACCTTTGCTGATCTGATCAAATTCTACAAGCTTGCTCCTAACCTAAGTTATGCCCTCTCCCTTTTTGGGTTTCTCATTGGGGGAAAAGGGCGGAGAGGGAGACTGGAATTCGTATCAGGGAAGCACAGGGGCCCAGTGGGAGCAAGGTGTTCTGGTCCCAGAATTCCTGCAACCTCCCATTTGAACCTTACCTGGCCGGCGCCGCTTGCGGGCCAGATGTGGCAGTAGGTCATGACGGGCCAGCACGCGCAGGAGTTGGCTCAGCAGCCGCAGGTTGCTCTCGTCGCACTGCCCACGGCGTTCCAGCTCCAGAAGCAGCTCCAGGCCGCTGCGGGCACGGGCCAGGCCTCCGGGGGCGCCGGGAGCCTCATCCAGCAGGAAGGCCAGGAGCTCCAGTTCGCACTCGGTCAGCTGCCCGCCCACCACCTCGAACATACGGTGAAGCGACAGCATGCCGTAGTAATCCAAACACTCATCCTCCTCCCAGCTCGGGGCCGGGGTCGACCCGGACAACGCCATTCCCAGGGGAGGGGTGCGCAACAAGCTCAGAACCAGGGCCTAGAACCCACACGGCGGGGAGGATGTCGTGGTCAGCGACGCGGTGGCCCAGAGAGCCCACACAGGCCATTCGTGTGACCCCCGCGAGGTGTCTCCGGATAGGGTCGCCCCATACCCTCAACGGTCTCAGATACCCCCTCCCACGGACAGGAATGGTATCACCCCAGGTACCCTAATAACAGGTCGAGACGCCAGACCCCACCGGTCCAGCGACCAGTCGGGCCAGCCAAGCCCAGGCGCCCCTCTCCAGGTGGTATGTTCCGAACTTGCCACCGACCAAGCTAGGAGATAAGCCCGAATGAGCCTCACGGCCCATTGCAGAGCACCTTGTACAATGCCCGGTGACTTTGGGTGGCAAATGTCCGGCCGTGGTCCTTGGTTCTATCCACCAGTACCTTTCGGCTAGCCCCAACGCCCCACCCAAGTGGTACCACTCAAAAGTGACCCTCGGTTCTCTGCAAGTGGGATCAACAAAGACAGCCCCGAGCTCTACACAGGTGGTACTGTTTGAACCCGGTCCCTACTCACCCTAGAAGGGCAATCGGTCCTGCCCTCACCCCAGCACCCAAGAGGTCCCATCTACCCGCCATCAGTCACCCTTAGGCCTCTCTGGATCCTCACCAGATTCCGGCGTCCGATGACTCCTGGGCGACGGCCGCAGCCACTTGTTTTGGATCTTTCTGGCACCTTCTCTATTATTACGCCTGCGTCACCTCGCTCCTCCTCCTCCTCCTCCTCCTCCTTCACCCAACTCGCGCAGGTGCGACCGCCACGCCCCTACAGCGCAAGCGCAGAATGAGGCCTCTAAGCCCCACCCCTCCAGGCCGCCCGACGCGTTCCCAACCGAAGCGTCCCCGCTGGCCAGTGCTGCGCTTGCGCAGCGGCAGAGCCTAGCTGCATCTGGCGCTTGGTCGTGATTCTGGATGGAGGTGGGTGGCCCTTGGACTTCCCACAGGGCAGGGAACCCTGACTGCTCTTTGGGCTGACGAGGGAGGGGGACTTGATTGGGGGAGTTGGAGGGAAAGGGGAGGCGGCGGTGGGGAAGATACAGAAATTTTTAATAAATAAATAAATAAAAACAAAACAAAAAAAAAAGAAAAGAAAAAGACAAGATCTTCTGAGTAAATTGGGAGCATGAGGACCTTGGGGAGGGTTGAAGGGGAGGGAAGAGGCAGGGAGGGGAGCAGAGAAAAATGTAGAGCTCAATAAAAATCAATTAAAAAATAAAAAAAAATAAAGTCTCGGTGTGTGTCCCTTGGATCCCACGACGTGACCTGTTGGGATTATTCATCCCACAGCTACATCCCCCACCTGATCACGACCTAAACGCCCACATGACGAATGCCACCAAGCTGCCGGAGCAAAGTACAACAGTCACGACGGTCAGGGCTCCCACGAGCTTGCAGGGCTCATAATCCGGTTTTATATTAAAGTACCACCCCACCATTCCTAGGTGGCATCCAGGAAACCACATCTCAACTCTTCTGTCTCCGAGCCTGTCTGGAAACCTTCCTCCAGCTCCCCATCCCCAATGTAAAAGTCCTCCAGTCGCATGCCCGAGAATACTTCTCCCCCAAATTGCCACAGACTCCCTCACCCCTATGTGCACATCATGAAGACGTCTATCAGGACCTCTCGTCACAGACACCCATACCCAGGGTTAGAACCGCCCTTCTACACAGTCCCTTTCTTCTCTGCCCTCTGAGTCTCTGAGCTATTCAGAGGCTCCCCTAACCAGCACCTACGAGAGCAAGCCTGTCAGAGAAGGGGAGGCCAAGGAGTCCCCTACGTGGGGCCTTGAGCGTGAGGGCTCCTCCCTGCACTTAGGTGAGTCAAGGTCAGGGCCCGCACACGCCTGAGCCAGGTCTCTTCCCGGATTGATTTCCACCCCAGGAATTATCTCCCTGAGAGGCGGGAGACCTGGGCGCGAGGTATTGGCTCGATACTGGTTGTTGCCTTTCCCTAGGCCTTGGCTTTTCCACCTGTGACAGGGACGGCAGTGGAAACACTGTCCACTGTGCACTGTCTGTGTGAATCTCACTGAACCTGACGGAGAATTAGAGGAAGGGAAAGCCATCTAGAAATGGCAAGGCTTCTGTTAGGTGGGCTATAGTGGGTACCCAGTGTTATCAGGCCCTGTACGGAACGGTTTTTTTCACCTGTATAACATCCAATGCCTCCAAATAGCCTTCCAGGAGGAGGGGATTCAAGCTCACTTTACCTATGAGCAAAACTGAGGCGGCCCAGGAAAAGTACCTCAAGTGTGTCTGGCTCTGAAGTTATGCTTCAGAGACGCTCAGCCTCTTCCGCTAAGAGATGCCACCTGTCAAAGTCTCCCGTAGCCCAAGCTCACTTAGGAGACCACGCTCAACCTGGACGCACACTTCTCTCCGCTGAATTTTCAAACAGCAGGCGAGGAGCGGCCCGGGGGAACTGCGCAGGCGCCTCTCCCGGACCCGGGCACCGCCCACAGGGCACTGATGTCTGCGTGGAGAAACTCTCGAAGCCCCGCCTGAGTACCGACGCGCAGGCGCGAGGGCGCGTGCCCTGCGCTGACAGCTCTGATTGGCTGCCTCGGGTGAGGGCGCCGCCCAATGGGAGGCGTGGATAGTGAGGGGTCCCACACACCCGCTGCGGAGGGTCCGTGTCAAGAGCGGCAGGGGCTGCTTGGAGGTAAGCGAGCTGGGTGAGGGCGCCGCGGGGCGGGCGGGGAAGAGAGCGCTGGGTGCAGGGAGAGAGTGGAGGAAGAAGGAAGGGCACACTGAGGGTCGGAGAGCCTTGGGGCCTGCGCTGAGGGCTGGAGTAGCGCGGGCTGATCGACAGCTCCTTCCTGTGTGCCCTGGAGGCGTTGGTGGAGCCCCTGCTGTGTGCGGGACCCAGCTTGAGCTCGCTTGCACACCCCACCCCTGCAGGGGGCCCTCACGCTGCCGGGCAGAGGAGTCTTGATAAGAGAAAAAGGCAGTGTAGCGGGAAAGTTGAACTTTACGGCCCCTGGTGGAGGTGCTCAGATTTAGTTTGTGTATACGCGGAGGTTTAAGCTAAATTCCACCTTCCGTGCCCTGACACACTGTAGGATGGGGCGAAAGGATTGCAGGCGAGAAAAGTACCGATGTCAAGTTACCTGGGCTACTTTCTAGAAAGATATGTATTCGGATTGTGTCCGTGTTGTTTCAGTGAGCCATGGTAAACTGGCTCCTATGCACCACGCTTTTTCTTGTGTGAGCTCATCCATATTTTGTAAAGTTTGTACATCCACTCCTTCCCTGGGTCAAGCCAAGTAGGTGTTCTGATCCTAGTCCCAGGTGGGGGGCGCGGGGGGGAGGAGTTCTGTCTTACAAGTGGGGATGTAATCAAGGCAGAGTGCAACCCTCCATCTTCTCCTGCCACCACCCCAGCCCCATTTGACTGTTTCTGGAAAAATCCTTCTTGGCTTTTCAATACAGGGTTTCTCTGTGTAGCTTTGGAGCTTGTCCTGGAACTGTTTGTAGCCCAGGCTGGCCTTGAACTCAACAGAGACCCGCCTAACTTTGCCTCCCAGTCCTGGGATTAAAGGCTCGTGAGCAGCTTCTATGCCAGCGCTATAAACTAAAGTCTGCCTACTTCTGACACAGAAGAGGTAAAGAAGGTGGCCATTGGCACTTGGGAGGCAGAAGAAACAAGACTGAGAACCAGACTTTTCTGTGTACATGCTGAGGTCAAGGCCAGCAGCCTAGATATTTATAAGCTCCAGTTTCAAAAACAGAAATTGAAACCAGACCTGACGGTGGTGGTACATGCCTTTAATCCCAGCACTCGGAGGCAGAGGCAGGCAGATCTCTGAGTTCGAGGCCAGCCTGGTCTACAAACAGAGCGAGTTCCAGGACAAGCTCCAAAGCTACACAGAGAAACCCTGTATAGAAAAACGGGGGGGGGGGGGGGGGGAGACGACACGGGACACGACACCAAACCAGGAGCCAGTAAGATGGCCCAGCAGGTAAAGGTGAATATCACACAACCCTGATGATCTAGGTTCATCCTCGAACCCACATAAGTGTGGGAGGAAAGTTTGAACTCCACAAAGTTTTCCCCTGACCACCACATGTTTGCTACAACACATTCATGCATACAGGCACACAGTAACATAAGGGGAAAAAATGGTGGGGGACCTTCAGGATGGCTCAGTGGGTGAAGGCAATTGACACTAAACCTGATGACCTGAGTTTGATTCCAGAACCTGCATGATAGGACAAATCCTTCAGGCTGTCCTCTTACCTCCATACATGTACCCTCACCTGGTAAGTATAATAAAGTAAAAATAAAATGCCCTTTAAAAGATTGGGATTGGATCAGAAATCTAGCGCCTAAGTTTAGGGAGGGTTTGCAGAATGGACTGTGAGTGCCTGTTATGTGAATGGTGTTGGGTTGAAACCAGAGAAAGAGAAGAGGACTTAGGACACAGAGGAGGATTTGAGTTTTAGTTGATTGGTTGTTTGTTTTGTTGTTTGTTTGTTTTTTGAGACAGAGTAGCCCTGGCTGTCCTGGAATAAGCTCTGTAGACCAGGCTGGCCTTGAGCTCACAGAGATCCATCCACCTGCCTCTGTCTCTTGAGTTCTGGGATTAAAGGCGTTATGCACCCAGCAAACTTGAGTTTTGTATCTTGGGTGGTAAGTGTGATGGTGCACACCTGTAATCCCAGCACTGGGGAGGCAGAGGCAGAAGGATCACTTCAAAGCCATCCTCTGTTGCATAGCAAGTTTGAGGCCAGGCTGGGTTGCATACAAACCCAAGTATTGACTTTTGTTAACGAAGTATCTTCTTAGTCTTCTGGTCAGTCCGACTTTTAGCTCCATTTTACAGGTGAGAGAAATAAAAGGGGAGGGCTCATACCCGCTCCTTTCTTAAATGAATATCCCAGAGGAGGAGAGGTGTTACACAACAGGAAACCTCATGTGTGCAAGTGGGCGGGGCAGCACCAGAGGCCAGGCTCCAGAGCACCCCCTCTCTCTTGCAGACACCTGACTGTAGTGACTGTGATAGGCTAAGACATAAAGGTGAAGTGAGACTGATTGACAGACTGGTGACTAATGGGGTGAGCAAGGGAACTCCTGAGACACCCGCTCCCCTTAGGGTCCTGACGGACCACTGACTCCTGCCCGTCTTTCTCCAGACACTGCCTTCCCATAATGGCAGAGATAGTGGCAGAAACAGCTGAGATACCAGCACAGTCACCAGGAGCAGTGGACATTTCGACACCAGTGTCAGGAGAACTGGCAGAGATGGCAACCACAGTGACTGAGATGACCCCTGGGGAGGCGCTGGCCTCGTCCCTCTTCTTCCAGCACCACCAGTTCATGTGCTCTGAGTGTGGCAGCCTCTACAACACCCTGGAGGAAGTCCTCTCCCACCAGGAACAGCACCTGCCTACCATGTCAGAGGAGGAGGTGCTAACCGCCCAGGACACAGGCCTGGAGTCTGAGCTAGTGCCTGACACTGGGGACGGACCTTTCCAATGTGGTGAGTGCAGCCAGCTCATCCTCTCCCCCAGTGAGCTCCTGGCACACCAGGATGCCCACCTGCAGGAGTCTGCAAGCCAGATCCAGTACCAGTGTGGCGACTGCCAGGAGCTCTTCCCATCACCTGAGCTGTGGGTGGCTCATCGAAAGACTCAGCACCTTTCCAGTACAGCTGATGAGCCACCAGTGCCACCTCCTTTTCCTCCCCCAACACCCCCACCCCCACCACCAGAAGTCAAGATGGAGCCCTATGAGTGTCCCGAGTGTTCTACCCTCTGTGCCACCCCTGAAGAGTTCTTGGAGCATCAGGGCACCCACTTTGACTCCCTGGAGAAAGAAGAGCGCAATGGGTTAGAAGAGGAGGAGGAGGAAGAAGAGGAGGAGACCGATGAGGAGGAAACAGCAGCAGAGCTCACTGCTGATGATATGGGAGATGACAAGGCCATGGCTGATCGAGCTCAGAGCTGTGGAGATTGTTCCCAGCACTGTACCACTTCAGCTGCACGCCGCCGACACCGACGGGCATCTCGTGGTCCAGCGTCTGGCACTCTCCCCTTCCACTGCAGCCAATGTCAGCGCAGCTTCAGCTCTGCTAACCGTCTGATGGCTCATGGACGAGCCCATGTGGGTGGTACCCATGAGTGTACCACCTGCTCCAAGGTGTTCAAGAAGGCAGCCTCTCTGGAGCAGCACCAGCGGCTGCACCGTGGGGAAGCCCGCTACCTCTGTGTGGACTGTGGCCGTGGCTTTGGCACTGAGCTCACTTTGGTGGCCCATCGCCGAGTTCATACTGCCAACCCATTACACCGCTGTCGCTGTGGCAAGACCTTCAGCAACATGACCAAGTTCCTCTACCACCGACGAACTCACACTGGGAAAAGTGGAACCCCCACCAAAGTAGCAACTGTCTCCCCAGCTCCAGCTGAGCCCACGCCCCCACCTCCACCCCCACCTGTCCAGCTGCCCTGCCCACAGTGCCCCAAGTCCTTTGCCTCAGCCTCCCGGCTTTCCAGGCACCGACGCGCAGTACATGGCCCCCCTGAACGCCGACACAGGTGTGGGATTTGTGGCAAGGGCTTCAAGAAGCTGGTCCATGTGCGCAACCACCTGCGGACACACACAGGTGAGAGGCCCTTCCAGTGTCACTCCTGCGGGAAGACCTTCGCCTCTTTAGCCAACCTCAGCCGCCATCAGCTGACCCATACAGGAGTACGTCCCTACCAATGCCTGGACTGTGGCAAGCGCTTCACACAGAGCTCCAACCTACAGCAACACCGTCGGCTACACCTACGACCAGTAGCCTTTGCGCGTGCCCCTCGCCTTCCCATAACTGGTCTCTACAACAAGAGCCCCTACTACTGTGGAACCTGCGGCCGCTGGTTCCGTGCCATGGCAGGCCTCCGACTGCACCAGCGGGTCCATGCCCGAGCTAGAACATTGACACTACAGCCTCCTAGGTCACCCTCTCCAGTCCCACCCCCACCCCCTGAACCTCAGCAGACTATCATGTGCACAGAGCTTGGGGAGACCATTGCCATCATCGAGACATCCCAGCCACTGGCGCTGGAGGACACACTGCAGCTGTGCCAGGCAGCACTGGGGGCCAGTGAAGCGAGTGGACTGTTGCAGTTGGACACGGCGTTTGTGTGACAGCACAAGGGCAATGATAGGAGGTTCGCTTACAAGACAGAGCAGAGCAGCTCAGGGGAGACCACCAGATGTCAGGATCCACCCTGCTGGCCTCTTCTAACTGCTGACTCCTCAGACCAAGGACAACCCTGCCAGGTTTCTTCTGTCACCTTTCTCTGCCCAAGGTGAAACTGAAGCTCTGTGAAGTGATGTGATCCATCTCAGCCCTTGCTGCTGCGCTGCAAAATGGGGTTTGCCAAGGCTCTTTGCACGGCATCACCCAGTGCTCAGCAACATCAGGTAACCTTTATGAGCACCAACCATATGCCAGACACTCATATACCTCTCAGATCTTCTGCTTGTAAACCCTAACTCCCCACTTCCCTGGATTTTGGGTGCCTGGGACTTAGCTCTGCTGGGTACAGGTAGTTTCTCTGGGCTTGTTCCTTCTTGGTTTGACAGTATGAAAAGAAATCTGTAGGTACCCCCAGTACTCAGCTCAGACTAGGTGATGTTGAAGAGCCAGGAGTGAACCAGACACAGCTCTGAACTCCGACTCTGAACTCAGTCCAGCAGGAGCAACAGACTAAAGTACAGACAGACAGCTTGCCTGAATGCAGCGCATTCAGCCTCTGTGCTCAAGGCACACACGTGCCATGGTGCTATGGGCCAGAGGCAGTGAGTCAGGCCTGAGGATCCCTGGGCTGTGATGGGAAAGTGTAGGGACAATGGGATCTGAGAATAGGGAGCAAGCCTCCATGGGAGGTTCCTAATGGCACCAGTTCCCGAAGTAAAGCAGGAATCTGCCAGTGGAAAAGGACATTTTAGACAGGCTCTCCAGTTATAACTGCAATAAACTGGCTGATAGGCTTAGGCGGGGACACTTAGTGTCTATCGGTGGACCTGTGCATCATCCCTGTTGTATGAGTAAGGATATGGGTCAGAGAATATATTCTGTTCTCCTTGGAGAAGGCAGTGTCACGGAGCATTTGGGATTTGAGGGGCCTTGGAAACAGGAAGGGATTGTATTTTTTCATAGGGTGTCCTTCCTCTCCCTAAGATGATTATAGGAGACCAGTGGGGCAGGGCTCCCCCAAGTCTCAGCAGACCATGGTGCTCCAACAAGTGAAGCAGGATGCTGCTGGGGCTGGGCACTGTCTGAGAGATAAGCCCAGGCCTTGGAAATTGAGGTGAGTTGTTGTTGAAGGAACGTCACAGGGAGGGTGTCGTGTCTCCCTGGATCAGAGCAGGGAGTGGGAGGTTGGCAATGGTCCAAGAGAGGTGAGCAGAACTGAGTAGGGACATTAGGGTCTGATGGGTAAGACAGCCTCAGTGACCACATAGTCAACCAGTAGGTCCATCCCTTAACTCAAACCAGCCATTCTCACCGTACCTTATAATTGGTTTGAGCAAAAGATCTGTCCTACAGGGTAGACAGGCACCCCTGGGGCTGATGGAAGCATCTAGCAGAGCCCAGAATATGAGAATCCCTCATGGATATGTTTCAAAATTCCTTTTTGTGCGTCGTTAGAATCCATCAGAAGGCTCCCTCCCTTTCCGGAGCCTTCTACCCACTCACTGTTTGGCACCATTTGGAGATACCATTTCCTTCTGCTATGGTCCCCACCATCTGGCTCCAGCATATTTTGAAAGTCAAGGGGAAAAGCCAGGCAAGGTGGCACAAGCCTGTAATCTCAGCATTTGGAAGCCTAAGGCAAAATCATCTCCAATTCCAGGCAGACTTGGACTATAACTGGAAGACCACCTCAAAAAACAGAGAAAAGCTAAGCTGTCTCCACCTTCCCAGGGTCACCACTTCCCAATATCCCTAAGAGAAGTGAAGCAAGTATACCCTGCGTTCAGGCAGTTACACCCCAGGAATCTGTCCACACATACCACCCCACTGAGTCCTACAGGCAGTTAGCCTAAGAGACTTTCATTATCCAGGGTCCCACTGGGCCCTGCTGCAGACATCCCTTTGTTCAGATCCTGACTCTGCCTCTTAAATTCTGGGGTTTCAACCACTCTGAACCCTAATCTCACTGATCACCCAGGATGGAGACCTTGCCCCTGCTGAAGCAGACGGTTTGTGCCAGGTCATGGACAGGCTCATAAGCACTGGTGGTTTAGGGGTTTCCAGCCTCAGTGTCCCCCTGCCTGAGGTAGAGCTCATTCTAAGCCCTGAACCCCCTCACCTCTGTGGAAACAGGCAGCCAGACAGGAAGAAGGGTTTCATGCCAATAATTTATTGAACGGAGGTCTGTACACAGGCAAACCTTACTGTGGAAACTAAGACACCAGGGGCTCTTTCCCTACTCCCTCCTTCCAGGATAGGGAGAGGGTAGAAGCCTTGGGAGCAGAGGACAAGAAGGGGATACAGCTGAGGAGAGGGGTGGGTTGGATGGTGTGAATCGACGTTTTTCTTTAAGAAAAAAATTATAACAATCTATTTACACCCAGGGGGGCCAGGGGAGGGAAAAGGTGGGCTGGACTGGTTCTATTTACAAGGGACATGGGAGGGGGAAAGGAGTGGTAGCCTGGGGGAGGGGAGGGGACCAAAGGGGTAGAAGGTCCTCGTAGCCCTAAACCCCCGTCCTTCCTTCTCTTCCCTCCCCACAACCAGTTAAAATCCTCTTTAAAAAGCCCACCACAAAGGTAAGGCTGAGGAGGGAGGGCCTAGATGTTAGGGGTAGGAGTTCATTTACCTCTGCCCTCTAGTCTAGGGGCCCAGCCAGGGCAGGAGCTTGATGAGGCTATGCCCCCCCCTTCCCAGCCCCACTTGGGAATTCCCAGATGGATGTGGAGGGGTAGTTGGTGGGGCCCTCAAGAAGAGTTAGCCAGGGTAGTTGTGGCATCAGGTGCCTGCCAGTCTGGGCCGGTCTGAGTCTCAGTTAAAGCTGAAGGAGGGAGGAGGAGACAGTTAGCTTCTGCATCATCCCCACCGCCATGCCATGAGAGTAGAACTTGTTTCAAGACACTGCAAGAAGCTGACAGCTGTCACTTCTTGTTCAGGGCTACAAACTCAGATGCCAAAGGCCAGCCTGACACTAAAGTGGCTCACATCAGGGAGCCAGGCTCCATGGAAGAAAGGAGCAGCTGGACAGAGCTCCAACTGCTGTCAGGAGACAGACAGACCCACAGCTACCAAATCCAGTTTTCTCCCCCAAAGAAACAGGAAATCAGGGGTTTTTTTTTTTTTTTGTTTTTACCCAAAATGGCCCAGTGTTTAAATGTGGGCAACTTTCTGTTTATTTTGTTCAGACCAAGAAATGTTTGGCATTTAAACACAAATGTGGCCAATACTGTCCTAAGGTTGATGACATGCTATGCCTTCTGTGCCATCAAATGTCGACAAATTAAAACCTATAGAAGCCCCCGCTTTATCCTCAACACATGTTCCCCAACTTACCTTGTGAGGACGAGGTGAGGGCAGTAGAGCCTGCTGGGGACCTCAAGTGAGGAGGGATGAGAATGGCATTGAGAGACGGTTGGATGGAGAGTTCTAGACACAGGAATTGACATGCCCAGTCAGGGAGAAGCAGGGCATTTGGAAAGCCAGTTAAGGTTAGGATGGGGTACCAAACAGGGACCCAGTTACTGGCAAGGTCAGGTAGTAGAGACATTAGCCACAGGACTCTTGGTGTAAAACTTGAAAAGATGTAGCATCTAGCCACAATATGGTGGTGACATCTGGCTGAGTCCAGGGCTGCCCTGTACCCTCTCAGCTCCTAGTCCTGTCTCTCCATGTCCCCCAAAAACTCCACAGGCCCCAAGCTGTGCTCTCACCACCAGGACTGAAGTTGAAGAGGGGGGGAAGCGGGCGGTTGTTGGGTAGCTGGGTTCCGAGACACCGCAGTTCATCAAAGAAGCTGTGGGCACAGGCCTCTAGTGGGGAGAGCCTTGAGGATGGAGTGTACTCCAACAGGCTTGAGCAGAGCGCAATGGCCTCAGGTGGTGTCCGAGATTTGAATACCTGTGGGTAGTTAAGCAGGTGGGTGCTGTGACACCAGGATGGTGTGCCTTATAGGGCACACCTGTTGCCTCCCTGACACCCACCTCCCCAATAAGGAAACAGGCATAAATACTGAACTGAGCAGCTAGCTCAGTTTCCTTGCCACTACATAAATGGGAATCTTGTATTTACCTATGGGTTCTCAACTTTTAAAATTCTATAAACTTCACAATCTGAAAGTGTTGTTGACTGACTCCCTGTTTAACTTCAGACACACACCCCCAGCCATAACTTATTTTTATTTTTTATATCTGTTTATTTTACTTTATGAATATGGTGCCTGAGTGCATGGCTGTTGACCACACACATGCCTGTAGGATCCCCTGGAACTGGGCTTACAGGTAGTTGTGAGCCACCATGTGGGTGCTGGGAATTGAACCCAGGTCCTCTGTAAGAGTAACAAGTGCTCTTAACCACTGAGCCACGTCTCAAGCCCCACAAGCTATGATTTTTAAGCCAGGTCTCCAGATCAGCTGGCCTTCAAGGGGACCCAGCTCTTCAGCCATGCTGTATGAATCCCTAGTACTGCCCTACCTTTGTCCAGGGGTGAGCTTTGATTTGTGGGAACTTGAACTCTGTGTAGTTGGGGTTCATCTCTCGGATTTGTTCCCTGGTTGGCGTTCCTAGTACCTGGAAAAGAAACGGAGGAGTCTGAAACAAGGGCCCTTTCCTCAGGCCGGGCCCACCTTCCCTGCCCCTGCCCCTGCCCCTGCCTTCACCTTGATGATCTCCACAAGCTGGTCCACTCCACTGTCCCCAGGGAAGATGGGCTGGCCAAGAAGCAGCTCAGCCAGTACACAGCCAGCTGACCACACATCTGAAGGGGAAGGGCAGAAGTTCAACACTAGGCAGCCAAAGCTGTCAAGTCCACTCCTTTTGCACACATGGCTATCTCCAGAGGTACTGGCTCAAGACCACAACCAGAACGGGAAACTGAAGCCTGAACCTCCAGGTCTACCTGGCTCAGCTGCACTTACAGCCCCCATGCCCTCTGTGAGTGACCCCCAATGAACCCGTTGAACCCTTCTCTACTAGGCCAATACAAGGCCTGACCCAGTCAACTGGCACCTGTGTGCTTTGGGACACAAGAAAGCTTTCTGTCCTGCTCATGGGAAGAACTGTGGCCTGGCCTGCTCACCCCCCTCCCTACCTTGGCCTATATGGTACAAGTTCACACCTAGGACCATCCCAGCTCCTCTTCAACCCTTTCATATACATGTTCTCATTGCAGCCTTCCTTCAGGTCTGGAAGAGGGTAATGCTCCCTCAGGAACAGAAAAAGATGGGCCCTGGGAGCAGGCCACCACCCCCTTCCCTCCACCAGACTGACTGGGAGGGTCTAGAGTGGTGGTGGGCTCTAGAGTCAAATTAGTCTTGAGATCTCAGCCCTGCCCTGGCCAGCTGTTGAGCCCCTGGCAGTAGCTGTATAGCAACCAGCCTTCCCTTGTCTGACTGCTCCAAACAAGACGCACCAGCGCCAGCCTCAACCTGTGAGAATCAGTGTTGGAACAGACGGTAAGCTTTAATCACCAAGCCTGCAACAGTGCCCAGGAGCTTAAAACCTGCCAAGACTGCCACTCCCCAGTCTCTGTTCCCTAACTGACCGATGGATGAGGTGTAATCTGTGGCTCCGAAGATGAGCTCTGGGGCACGGTAGTACCGAGAACAGATGTAGGAAACATTGGGCTCCCCCCGAACCAACTGCTTTGCACTGTGGGAAAAGACAGGCAGGGTTAAGCATAAACCCAAGGCTGAGGCTCTCACCCTTTTAGGTACCCCACAGGTTCTAGGTCAGACTTACCTGCCAAAGTCACAGAGCTTGAGGACAGCAGTGTCAGGGTCCACAAGCAAATTCTGGGGCTTGATGTCACGGTGACACACACCTTGGGAGTGGATGTAGGCCAAGCTCCGGAAGAGCTGGTACATGTACACCTAAAATGGGCAGGGCACAGCTCTACTCCAGCCCACTGCTTCCCACATGCACATTGCTGGCCCACATCAGACCATTCTCCTTGCTGGCTATTGATGGCCCCAGTTCCTGAACCCTGTTTTGAAACCCCTGATCCTCATACTTTGCATAGGCCAGAGGGCCCCATTCCCAATTTCTGACTCATGCTTAAGGACGGCTTGCTGGGACTAGGACTGACCCCCACATAGGGAACGACTGCCCAGTCTCCCCTGGCACAGCCTGAAGAGTGACACCAGGTCTTGACATAACAGGTGTGAGCCAGGCACTCTGCTTCCCCTCTCACCAAAAACCACTAGCTCTGGAGGCCGAGGCCTCCCACTGACAGCTCTTCCAGCTTCATTCCCTGCCCTCCTTATGCCACTGACTAGAACCTAAGTAAGGTTTCTGGTTTTGATTTTAATTTGTATTACATTTCGATTGAGTATACATGCCCACCTCTGGGGGAGGATGGTGATATGTGCACCATAGACCACAACTGGCAATCAGAGGAAAACTTGCTGGCGTCAGTTCTTTGATCGTGTAGATCCCAGTAATTGGTCCTCAAGCTTTGTAACAAGCACCTTTACCCATGGAACCTTTCTGGGAATTTTTTTTTTTTTTTTTTTTTTTTTTGGCACAGGGTCAAACACTAGATTCCAAGATGGCCTTTAACTTGAAATCCTCGTGCCTTAGCCTCCCCAGTGCTGAGATTACAGGCATGCACCACAACAACATGCAGCCAGGACCTTTGAGTTTACTTTCTCCTGCATCCCCTGTCTAGGCCAGTCCCTATATATATTAACTAGCTGCTAACTGCTCGACACAGGGACCCCTCTTCCTGTACCTGCATCATCATACTACTCTCCTCCCAGTGTTCCTTGATCTTTCTCACCTCAAGCCAGGCAGGGAAGGGCATTCAGTTCCCAGAACTCCCTGTGGCCCTCTACATTGCAGCAGCTCCTCAGCTTTATCATGGTCTGTGATGGTGCCTGCCATCAGTGTCTTAAAGGCAGGGTCTCTTTCTGTAGTCCTGCCTGTCCTGATGCTTACTATGTAGACCAGGATGACCTTGAACTCAGATCTTCCTGTCTCTGCCTCCTGAGTGCTGGGACAA